ATTCGCTGCTGGTCCCAAGTCTGGCTGAGAAAGGAAGAGGGTTGGAAACCGCGGCGAAGTCTCACTAAAATTTCGAATTCATGGTATTGACGTAATCAAAAATTATACCGGCTCGGTGGTCGACAGGGTTACCAAGGGCAACGCAGGCAGACGTTGGCAACCTCACGGACTCAGACAGACCGCGAAAAGTACGCGATCAGAACCTGCTCAACGTCCTATGCCAACCGGGCGCAGCAGCACAACAACGGCTCACAAGATCGACGAAACTACGACAAAGATACCAGTTAGGAGTCGCTACCTGTGGAGGCAGAAAGCGCGATGCCATTATAGCACGTCAGAAAAAGCTCCACGAGAACGACACCACCAGTGGAAGCTTAAAGTCAGAAATTGGAACATATCCTCACTCAGAGGGATAGAGCAAGAGTTAGTTGATCAGCCCATAAAATAACAACTGGACACCGTTGGACACTGGACAACGATGCGAAAAAGCCTTGGAATCCTGAACCTCTGCGGGTGGAAGCCATTCAGTTCAGGCGTCGATATCACGAAGCGCTCAGGCCGGTGTTGGTGTTCTGGTAGAACCCAACCTCGCAGACAGAATCAATGACTGGAAGCCTGTCAGCGGAAGAGTCGTAATCCTCTGATTGAAGCTACAACAGGATAGAGCGTAGACCTTCTTACAGGTCTTAGGCTTAGGAAATTTCGATGCGCATGTCAGAGTAGACTATGAAAAGCGCAAAGCCATGATTGGAAAGAACGGCTTTAACGACCTCAGTAATAGCGGTATGAAGTTGCTGCGGTTTGTGCAAACAACGGACTGCCTATAATCAACATCTTTTTCGAGCAACGAAACTTGTACCAGCACACTTGGTACCGGCAAGCTTATGTACAGAAGTCGATGATTGATTTGATAATCGTATCGTCTGACCTAAAACGCTCAGGAAAGAATGTTCGAGTTAAGAGAGGCGCAGAGCTATCAACCGATCATCACCTTGGAGTACCATACGAAGATCTGGTGGCAGAGGCAACCGGAGAATCAAATGGGCAACACAATCTTTGGTGGAAACGAGAACGAAATTCGTAAAAAACATCGAACGACGGCTTGAGCAGATCCCGGTGATGACTACTGATCTAGAAACCAAGAGCAGCTTTTTAATATCGGCATACTGGAGGCTGTCGCTGAATGTTGCTGACTTAAACACGCTGGCCTACTGCCTGGAAGTCAGAAAAGAACTTCCCGGTAGACAAGACAGGTACAAGTGGCAGTTAAAGGGAAGCCTGCAAAAATAGAGCCTTCCGCACTCATGCAATATGTCGAGGCACGGAAACTGGTGGCAAAAACAGTGGTGAACGCCAAAGCTGATTCCGGGGAGAAGTTCGGTGAGGTGTTGGAGTCGAATTTCCACACGGTAAATAAGGTATTCTCTCAGATCATCCGCCGGCTACGAGGCGAAAAGAAGGGCAGTCTAAGCCTTGAAGGACAGGACAGCCCTCGTCACCCTCATACCGAGGATAATGACACCCTTCGTTGATGGAGAAAGTACTTAGAGGAACTGTTTAATCCGGAGCAACCGCAGGAAGACTCGAAGCAGAGCAGCAGGGAACAGATATGAATATCTCTTAAGATGAAATTACACAAGCTGTAATTACACAAGCTGTAATTACACAAAATCCTGAAAAGAGGAAATGGTGCTGGAACTGACGAAATCGGCTCTGAAATCATCAAAGGAATAGGCGAACAAGCTATGTGCAGGCTTACACG